CTTCAATGGGTAAGAGTATTATTGTGTGACTGACTGAGTGCAGGGTTTTCCACAGCCTTAGTGCTCATGCATGCAGCTTCATTTCAGTGTATGTCAATTTGCTCAAAAATTAGGCTAAAGGACAGGAATTTTGACAAAATTACAAGGAGAGAATTCATTTACTAGACGAATGTAAAACATTAAAGGGGTGAGCCTATAAGCAGGCAAAGCAATATACATACAATAGATATTGACAGACTATACAATACTTATGCATGATGATGTGATGATTGTGCAACTAAGTATGAATGTAGTTCTTGATGATCTATCTTTGTGATCTCTGCAACAGTAAACTATGAGCTTTGACGTTAAGAGTTTTACTCTCAACGTAAAACACTGTAAAATTTACAAAGAAAATCCATAGTTTTGTATATTTTTGTAAAATTTTGAGAGCATATAACTTTTGGTGCACTGCTGCTAGGGCTACAATTTTTGTCACACAAATAAAAGACAACTATTGCTATAGTACTTTGCAATTTCATGAGATGGCAAAGTATAGCTTTCCTAAAACAAGTGTCCGAAAATGGGTGGTGTCCGATCATTAATAGTTTACTCTATTCTCCATTTTTTCATTATATGGCTTGTCTTTCTCATCTAAATTCAGCATATGGAATTTTTCGAGGTACCTCTTCTTTGCTATCAAGTCTAGATTCTTAAAATATGTTTTCAGTCTCACAAAGTAGTCCACAGCACACACAAATTAAGCCAAATCTTTCCCACCAGAGGGTGTGGTTTACACTTCAGGCCTAACTATCAATTAATTATTGCTCATAAAAATTCCTTCACACCTTTCAGTGAAAAAGGTCCATATCTAGATAGGCAACTGTAGTAGTTTCTTGCATGCTCCAAGTTAGTTTAGGGTGTCTCTTGCTGTGACTGACATTCACTTCATCAGAGTTATCTACATAAATGAAGAATATGACATATCTGCTTTCTTAACCTTCTTTGCTGCAGTCATATATCTATGCTGCAGTATAGTCAGAGTGACTACTGTACACAATCTTATCTTACTTATTTCAGTGATGTGACTTGCAAGCTCAGCCACCATTTTATTTCACTGTGACCACATCTGTTTTCATTGAAGATTATTAAGTTTATTAAAAAGTGGAAATTTTTCATACGGATAAATAGAGGTGACGTATGTGACTATGTGTACAAACAGAGTTACATACTCTATACTGGTTTATGTGGGGCTTGCTCAGGCTCGTCATAATAATTTTGTTCTAATACATCAAGTTTAGATTTTTTAATGAATTTTAAAAGTTGCTCCAAATGGCATATACATGTACTGTATTGTAGTGCTTGTCAGCTCATGAAGTATGAAACCCTGACTGAGTGTATACAATTGTGTGTGTACTCACTGTATATATTTTGTATAATTGACAGATAAATTGGATTGTCTGAGTGATGTCCAGGTAGCAGAGAGGAAGCTGTTTTTAATTCAAGGAGACAAACCTCAACTGATGAATTGGGAGAAATATGGTCTAAGGATTGGAATACAAAAGGAGAGCTTACTGTCCTCTGAGACAGTTGAAGCAGCAGTGGTTGCTCTTGTAGGAGGAGAGTTCCAGTTTCCTGCTAATACTGTCCTAGTGAGTGCTGTGTATGCAGTATCACTCTCAAAGCCTCTCCTCAAACGGCTCATATTAGAAATACAGCACTGTGTTGATTTAACAGGACGACCAGGTCTTAGTCGTCATCTCAAGTTTGCTATAGCTCCCGTGAACATACCCAGTCTTCCTTACCAGTTCTCTATAGTTGAGGGAGGAGAGTTTAAAGCTGATAGCCATGGTTGGTATGGATCCATTCAACGTAAAGAGTTCTGTTTAGTATCTGTTGTTGGGGAGAAAGGTCTACCCAAATCATCAACTAATGGAGACAAGTCAGAGGAAGAGGAGGAGGAGCAAGAGGAACAAGCAGAAGAGGAAACTGAGGAGGAAGTGGAAGACGGTAATAGTGATTCATCCAGTGATTCTGATAAGACTAACGATCCACCAGGAGGTAGGAGTGGAGGACAAGGTGAGTAATGAGTGAGTGAGTGTGTACTAGTATATAATGAACTGAATCTAGTCCACTGTATAGGAGAGTCTACTAGTAATGAGGGAGTAGAGGAAGAGGGGGAGACCGGAGGTGAGCCATTACATGAGGAAGGAAATGAAGAGCAAGATAATGAAAGAGTAGAAGAGTCAAAGGATCATGAAGAACCTCAGCATGAAGAAACAACTGCTCCAATACCTTGCACTAAGATTAGTTTAGATTTTAATAGTAAGTATACATTAACATGCAGTGAATATTAATTAATGTATACTTGTGTATAGGTAAAGTAGTAGTTTCCACTGGTATAATAGAGAATATGGCTTATGCTGGACTGGTTTATTATGAGGAGAAAAGAGCTGAAGATTTGGTGACATTTACTGTTGCTAAAGATCTTAATGCACTGCTTGAGGTAAATCTTTTACTAATAATAAAACATTAATAATAATTAATGAGTACAGTTTATTGATAGGAGACGCTCTCAAGCTGAAGTTGACCAAAGTTTTTCATTTCGTTTCAAAAATTATGATGGATATATTGAATTAAAGTTTGATGCTCCACAGAAGAAGCCTTACACTGGATGGACTATTGAGCCTCACATAGAGCCTTGTAGAGTATGTACTGAACTATATTTACAGGTACATGTATAACTGCATGATGGTTGTATATTTATAGTTTCTACGTTGTGATGTTGATAAGTTTGGTCAAGCTAATGATTCCATTCCTCCATGTTGTCTGGTATCAGTATATGGGTCACCTGGTGCTGTACCATCATTACACTATTCTATACCACTGGATGGAGTGGCTGATCCTAAGACATTATTTATTCACCGATCACTGAGAACTACTCTGTCTCTACCACTACCAGGTAATGTAAATCAATTTCAGTATACACGAGTATATCATTTTTAGGTAACCCAGTAAGTGAACCAAAACCCATGCCAGTGGTGAGGAAAAGAGAAAGTAAAGTATTCATGTAGTTATAGGCTTAGTAGTAATGGTATAACATATAGGTGGCATTGATTTAGTCTCCATTAAAGAAAAGGTTCAGCAAGTTCTTACAAACCGTCGAGTTGATTTGAGCAAAGCTTTTAAACTTTGTCTACCCAGTATATTTGATGAATTGGTTCAAGTGGGTATTATCAATGAAGACACAGAGAAATCTTATGAGGCGATAATTGAGAACTTTATAGTTGGGATGATTTTCATGAATAGTTCGTCTGATCTTGAGTCATACTGTGTGAAGTTTCTCAATGGATTATCTAAAGTTGGTGGACCAGTGGCTCTTGCAGCTGAAACAATATATGAAGAATGGACTGAGGCAAGTGAAGGAGAACTTTTGTTTGATTGTTTAGCAAAAAGAACCAAAAACAATTTATAGTTGTGCTCAAAATTTGTATGATTATTTAAAAATAAAAATTTAAATTAAGAACCTGCACTTTTGATACATGTACCAGTAGTATCACTGAGGCTATGACTTGTTGCAAAAGCAAATGGGACAACTTTCATCAACTGGAGATCTAAACACCCAATGAGCTATAGATTACACTTATGAAATGACTTTGATGTGAATAAGCAACCATTCTTATCAATTAGACAATAATTATTATAGACCATTTTAAACATGCTGAAAAATTTTATG